CTGGGGGATCAGCTGAGCGCGTTTTTGACGTCGTTAAACTCCTTTGAGGCCACGTCAATGGCGACCGGCTAAAACAGAAGGCAACGGGACTGTTGCCCAGCTGATCAACTGCTGGGTTTTTACAGCCCCCTCAATGGGGAGAGACCTTGGAAGATCAAGGCAAAATTTGGCCTATGAGATCGGGCTTGATTGAGGGGTGAGTGAATTTTGGAGAAGACCTGGGGGGTGGAATTGGCCGGAGGGAAAGGAGGAATTTTCCATCTTGCTCTCTTCCCTGGGGCCTTTCTCCCCCCCCTTCCCCCCCTCATTTGTGAGGGCTTTACTCCCGACTGTTGCCTGACTCTATTTTACTCTAACCCATTCAATCCATCTTAGTCGTCTACAGTTGTTTTTGGGTTTTTTGACATCTTCCTCCTTATTATTTTGCCATTTGATCCTGACTTTTCCTAATTACGATCTTGTCTTATCACATCCTCCTGTTATGGCTCCATCAGACTCGATGTTTCTGGAGAGATGTCGGACTTTAGACTGGTAGGCTGAGAGTCCTGGAAGATTACTGCTGCCTCACTACTGCAGGAACTGATCCATGGCTCCGCTGGCGGTCTTTTCCCGTCTAGCCATCGTGAGAGGGTGGTTGCGGCTGATTCCTGCGGATACATTCGTTCCAGCTTTCTCTTTGACTCTCCCATCGTTGTGAGAGGGCGATGGACTTGCCCGGTTCTGGTTCCATCTCCAGTCTGTATTGTATGTGCCCCTCCCTCCTGTTTTCTACCATCTAGGGTGCTTAATGTCGTCTTTCATCTACCCCATGTTTTAATTCTGGCCTACACTTCAGCAGACCTCCTTGCTCTGCAAGATGCCCCCCTCTCGTGGACGTGGCCTTCTGTTTTACCGAAGGCCTACCTCAAGGACGGGTTTTGGAACCCCGAGTGGTGGCATGCCTCAAAGCGTGGTCTGAGGGGGTTTTTAATTAGGGTTTTTAATCAAATTTTAAGGGGACCCGGGAGGAGGGTGGTGAGAGATGAGCCGGGGGCAGCTCCTGTGGCTCAGCAACCTGGCCCGTCGGACGGTTGTGGGGGAGAGGGGGGAAGGGGGGGAAGGGGGGGAAACGAAGAAGTTCGGTGGAGAGAGGGTTTTTCAATCCCAGTGATGGTGGGGAAGGGCAGGGCTGGTAAGAGGAGGGGGTTTGGAGAGCCCCGCCGCTGTGTTCGAGCGGTGGGGCTCTCCTGTTCCCTTGGCCCATCCTGCCCCCCTGGCGGTGACGGAGTGTGGACCCCTGGACTCCGGCTGGTATACCTGAATGCCAGGTCCGTGGTGAATAAGGCCCTCCTCGTCCGAGATCTTATTGACGAGGAGGAAGCAGACTTAGCTTGTATCACCGAGACCTGGTTAGGGATGGAGGGAGGCATCCCTCTCTCTGATTTGTGTCCCCCAGGCTTCCAGGTATTACATCAACTGTGACTCCAGGGGAGGGGTGGGGGAGTGGCAGTCGTTATTAGGGAAGGTTTTAGACCTAGGGAGGTCACTCTCCCTCAGATTGGCGGGTGTGAATCGCTCCTTTTGAAGTGGGATCCTGTTCAGTCGGGTTTGCTGGTTACGTACCTATCACCCAGCTGCGTAGCCTCAGCCCTGCCTGCACTACTAGATATCTTGGCCGAGTTGGCGGTTGAACTCCCCAACCTTTTGGTTGTCGGAGACTTCAACCTGCCTTCAGTTGGGGAGACATCTGAGTTAGGGTGACCCGCTCCCTCCTTAATCTTGGAGCGAGGGAGGACCCCTTGCAGGGCTGAGCTGAGGATTTTGCAGTTTCTGCAAGATAAAATCGCTCAGATCCGGACCGGGCTGGACTCTGACTGGGCAGAATCCATTGAGGAAACTGGGGCTTGTCTTGGCGGGGACATCTGGGTTGAGTTTGAGCCTGTTTCGTTGGATGAAGTGGACAGGATTATGGGTCAGCTGGGGACCTCCACGTGTTTATTGGACCCGTGTCCCTCCTGGCTTGTTTCGGCAGGGAGGTGACCGGAGACTGGATCCAGGCTGTTGTCAACGCTTCGCTGAGGGAGGGGGTCTTCCCTGCTGCACTCAAAGAGGGAGTGGTTCGCCCTCTCCTCAAGAAGCCTAACCTGGACCCTGACTCCTTTAATAACTACTGTCCAGTCTCCAACCTCCGCTTTTTAGTGAAGGTTGTCGAGTCCGTGGTGGCACAGCAATTCCCTCAATTCTGGAGGAAACTGACTACCTGGATCCTTACCAATCTGGTTTCAGGCGCGGTCACAGCACGGAAACGGCATTGGTCACCCTAGTGAATGATCTCTGGCGGGCCCGTGATGGGGGTTGTTCCTCCATCCTGGTCCTTCTTGATGTCTCAGTGGCTTTCGATACCATCGACCATGGTATCCTACTGCAGCGACTCGGGAGGTTGGGGATAGAAATAAAATTATTATTATTATTATTATTATTATTATTATTATTATTATTATTATTATTATTATTATTATTATTGGGACTGTTCTGCAGTGGTTCCCCTCCTATCTCTTGGGCTGCTTGCAGTTTGTATCAGCGGGGGGGTCAGAGATCCTCCCAGAGGCCCCTCACTTGTGGGGTGCCTCAGGGATCGGTTCTCTCCCCCCTGCTCTTTAATATCTATATGAAGCCACTGGGTGAGATCATTCATGGTTTTGGGGTGAGGTATCACCAATATGTGGATGATACCCAGCTTTATATCTCCACCCCGGATCACCCTAGGGATGCCCTTTCCGTGATGTCCCGTTGCCTGGAGGCGATGCGGGCTTGGATGGGTAGGAACAGACTCAGACTCAACCCATCCAAGACTGAGTGGCTGTGGATGCCCGCATCTCTGGATCTAGAGGTACCATCTTTAGCGATAGGAGGGGAGACTCTTACCCCCTCCGCTAGGGTTCGCAATCTGGGCATCCTCCTGGATTCTCTGCTGTCCCTGGATGACCATCTGATGGCCGTAACCAGGGGAGCCTTCGCACAAGTACATCTGGTGCACCAGTTGCACCCTTTCCTAGACCGAGATGCCCTCGCCACGGTCACCCACACCCTTGTTGCTTCTCGGTTGGATTACTGCAACACCCTCTACATGGGGCTGCCCTTGGGATGCATCCGGAGGCTCCAGCTAGTCCAGAATGTGGCTGCGCGGGTAGTTACCGGAGTTCCTCGTTACTCCCATGCAACACCTCTCCTGCGCGAGCTGCACTGGCTGCCGGTTGCTCTCCGGGTCCGTTTCAAGGTGCTGGTGCTTACCTATAAAGCCCTACATGGCTTAGGCCCGGGGTACTTGCAGGACCATCTTCTGCCTTCGTCCCACCGTTCCGTGCGCTCCCACAGAGCAGGCCTCCTCAGGGTGCCGTTGGCCAAACAGTGTCGACTGGAGGCCCCCAGGGGGAGAGCTTTCTCTGTCGGAGTGCCGACCCTCTGGAATGATTTGCCCACCGAGCTCAGGATAGCCCCGGACCTCCTCTCCTTTCGCCACAAACTGAAGACGTGGCTCTTCCGTCAAATAACTTGATCTGCTAGGGGTTGCACAAACTGTAATAATTTTAAATATGGTTTTTAAGGGGTTTTTAACTTATTTTGTTATTTTGTGATTTGTATTATTGATTGTTGTTGTAAGCCGCCTTGAGTCCTTCGGGAGAATGGCGGCATATAAATTGCAAAAATAAATAATAAATGAATAAATATTTCAATAGTCACCAATCCCAGTCTTAAAATGAGTTTAGAATCAGTGGACGTCACTGATAACAATGAACTACTAGCTACTGATAATGAGTCCAGTCCTGCCTTTCTTTTCCTTCTGTCCAAGTTTTGCAAGTACTTTTTCCAGGTATATGCTTTATTCCAAAACACACTGTCAGAATGACTCTACTCTCAGCCCCCCTTGTGGCTCCTTGAAAAGCATCCCCCCCATATGTAAATGAAAAAAATAAGCTTAAAAATCCTAGCCTTTTAACATTGGAAATATGGAGAATTGGGAGGATGAATATGAGACGCTAAGGGAGATGTTTCAAAAAGTAAGGGAGGCATTTAAGGGAAATAAAGAAGCAGAGAATTGGTTAGCTTGCAAAAAAAAAAGAAAGAGAACTGTGAATAGACTAAGAGAAAATGGTTAAGAGTCAGTGAAAACATTAATTTGTTAATAAAGAGAAGGATGCTAGTTGTAGAAATTATATGTGAAAATGCTGTTAAATGAAAAATAGAACAATGTTATCCAAGCTACAACTTAATCCTTTTTACTTTCACCACAATATACCATTAAAGGTATTTCAATTGTTACAGTTTATACTTATTCATATTTCTAAAAAAAAATAAAAAAATAAAAACTTATCATTGTCTAGATATCAAAAATACAAAGACAAATATTCCAATTATTCATTTCATTTTTACAATCATGATTTCCCATTTATTTCTTACTACTGTTCATATTTCAATTCTAAATATGTATAACATCTTTCTATTTCTTTTTCTCCCTTCCCATTTTTATTTTTGCCTTTTTCTTTCTCTTTTTTCTTTTGCGTTTTAAAATCTTGAACTCTCCTCTTTTGCCCTAAATTTCCCATTTTTTGCACCTACCTTGTTTAGTGAGGAAAAGGAAGAAAAAGAAATTTCCCTCTTCCTCTGCCTCATTTTTCCTTGCAGCAAACAGCAAAGCCTGCTTTACTTTCAGTTTCATTTTCAGCATAGCTTGATTAGCACAAGGGGAAAAAAATCAGCTCCAAGACTTTGCAGCAAGCAGCAGAGCCCTGTGCAAAACAGCTGGGAGAGTCGAGAGGCCAATCTAATCAACTTGTGCTAATTAGCCTATGCTGAAGCTGAAAGGAGCTGTTTTTTCTTGCTTTTTGCTTCCAAGGAGGTAACTGTTGTGAGGCACAGGCCAAAGGGTGGGGGCCACCCTCCTTGCCACTTAGTGCCCTCCTGCCACCCGCTTTTGCCTCTAGCGCCCCCCTGCCATCCCCCTTGCTCTTATTGCCCCCCTAAGTCATCCCACCGCCCCCCACTTTGGTACCGCGCACTTTGGGAACCACTGCTTTAGGTCATCACTCATCACTTTGGCAAATCCATGCGCATTTTCTTGTGTGCAATACGGGTGGAATGTTTCCTGAAGCAACGCCCACTCTTGGGGCACTTAAATGGTTTCTCCCGTGTGTATAAGCACATGATTCAAAAGGCTAGTCTTACTACTGAAATCTTTCCCACAGTCTGGGCACTCGTATGGTTTCTCTCCTGTGTGAATCCTCTGGTGTTTCACCAGCTCAGAATTCCAAAGGAAACTTTTCTCACAATCAGGACATTCAAATTGTTTCTCTCCTGTGTGAGTCCTCTGGTGTATCACCAGGCTGGAAATGTGACTGAAAGTTTTCCCACAATCTGGACATTCAAATGGTTTCTCTCCTGTGTGATTCCTCTGGTGCCTAACAAGGTGGGAATTGTTACTGAAACTTTTCCCACAATCAGGACATTCAAATGGTTTCTCCCCTGTGTGAGTCCTCTGGTGTGTCACCAGGCTGGAATTGTGACTGAAACTTTTCCCACAATCAGGACATTCAAATGGTTTCTCTCCTGTGTGAGTCCTCTGGTGTGTCACCAGGCTGGAATTGCGACTGAAACTTTTCCCACAATCAGGACATTCAAATGGTTTCTCTCCTGTGTGAGTCCTCTGGTGTCTCACCAGCTCAGAATTCCAAAGGAAACTTTTCCCACAATCAGGACATTCACATGGTTTCTCTCCTGTGTGAGTCTTCTGGTGTGCCACCAGGTTGGAATTCTGACTGAAACTTTTACCACAATCAGGACATTCAAATGGTTTCTCTCCTGTGTGAGTCCTCTGGTGTGTCACCAGGTTGGAATTGTGACTGAAACTTTTCCCACAATCAGGACATTCAAATGGTTTCTCCCCTGTGTGAGTCCTCTGGTGTGTCACCAGGCTGGAATTGTGACTGAAACTTTTCCCACAATCAGGACATTCAAATGGTTTCTCTCCTGTGTGAGTCCTCTGGTGTATCACCAGGCTGGAATTCTGACTGAACCTTTTCCCACAATCTGGACATTCAAATGGTTTCTCTCCTGTGTGAGTCGACTGGTGTGTCACCATCCTTGAATTGTTTCTGAAACTTTTCCCACAATCAGGACATTGAAAGGGTTTCTCTCCTGTGTGAGTCCTTTGTTGTCTCATGAGGTGGTAATTTCCAATGATACTTTCACACAATTTGGACACTCTTACGTGATGGGTGTCCTGTGATGTATCACCATGTTGCCATGTTCACTAAAGTATTCACATCGGGAGCACTCATATGGCTTCTCTTCTGTGTGAGTAGTTCCACGAACCACAAGGAAGCTGTTCTGACCAAACTTTTTGGCGTATTCAGATAATTTGTATGGCTTTTCTGCAGTTGGGATCTTCTTGTTAAATCAGCTATGATTTGCAATCTGCGCTTTTTCTACAATAGGTAGATCTATGGAGCTTTTCCACAACTGATATTCTTGAGGTCAAAAATATGTGTGATCTATTGTTTAATGGTGCTTTGATTAAAGCTGTTTGCTTCTTCCCAGAGCAAGGCCTGTATCATTGTCTGTCCTATGTGCCCTGCCCAATAAGACTTTTTCCTTTCACCTAACTTCCAGATATTTCCATCTTTTTCTGAGTGAAAAATAATCTTCCTTGATTTTTCATGCAATGTATCCAAGAGTTTCGTATCCTCTACTTTTTCCAGCTCAAAATCTCATATTAATTTTCTCTCTTTTGTCTATTAGCTGCTGGAGAAGGAGAATTGAGTTGTTTTCTGAAAGAAATGGAATATATTTTGATTTCTGGCTCAATTTTATTTACTTTTCAACGTTGCTTGTTATTCTCAGTTGTCCAGAATGCTCTTATTGCCATCCTCTTTGTCTGTAAGTTTTAAAGAAAAGTGTAACTTTAATTGTGTATAAAATGGTTGCAGAAGATGTGAAAAAAAGTATACATTACAACAAAAAAGCAAACATTCCACAATGCTAGAATAATCTCTTACATTAACTATGATTCATTTGACACATGGAAGAGTACCAAGATATCTATTCAACCATGAAATTATGTTGTTGACTTGGGTCAATCAAGGCTGAGTCAACCTTGAGCCTGGTGAGATTTGAACTTGCAGTAATTGCAGGCAGCTGGTGTTACTTAATAGTGCTTTAGTCTGTTTACCGCTCTTGCTTAACGCATTGTAAGCCGCCCCGAATCTCCAGAGAAGGCGGCATATGGATCGAATCAATCAATCAATGGGAAAACAACTCAAGAAGCCTGAGAAACTCTGGCTGCCTAAACAGAGGGATAGAATTGAGATCACATGAAGTATTAGTACCAATTTATACTGCTTTGATTAAGATCACACTTGGATTACTGCAACCACTTTTCATCACCACAGTATAAAAAAGGCATCCAGACTCTATAAAGAGCGCAGAGAAGAGCAGTAGGGATAATTAGTGGGTTGCAGTAATTGGGAATGAATCCTCTAGTGAAAGGAAGGACTAGGGGTGACATGATAGCAGTGTTCCAATACTTGGAGGGTCAACTTCTTTTCCAAAGCACCAGAAGGACAAGACAAGAAGCAATGCATGGAAACTAATCAAGGAGAGAAAAACCTGGAATTAAGGAAAAATCCCATCAGTGAGAACAATTAGCCAGTGGAAGGGAATGGCTGCAATTTTCTGCTGCCTGGAAGACTGAAAAAGCCTCTTTTGAGTGAAGGTTGATTCTTCGGGAATGGCTTCCCTCCAGAGGTTGTGGGGGCTCCATTGCTGGTGGCTTTTAAACCGACGGGACAGCCATTTGTCTGAGACGTCATTAAGACCTCCAAGGTTTCTTCCAGCTCTCTTCCAAACCTCCAGTGACGGAGCTCCCTCTGGAGGGAAACCAGCCCCAAAGGCTCAACCTGCATTGGAAGGAGGCTTTTTCAATCTTCCCACCAGCAGAAATTGCAGCCCCCAGTTTCCCAGCCTGCAGCACCAGTGGGCTTCCATTTGGGGAGGGAAGGAACCTGCAGCAGCCGCAGCTGAGAGGCTTCAGCCCAGTTGCTTCTCCGCTTCCAGCCCAAGTTGCTCCCGGACTCTCCTCCCACCTGCTGCCCTCCACTCACCTGCCAGCTGCTGCTTCCACCATGGAAACAGCACAAAAGCCGCTCTGCACACCAACTTCCTCCCATCAGCCATCCGGAAGAGGAAGTTCCTCTGCGCGTCTCCTCTCCTCCCAGCCTTTCTAGCAATGCAGTACTTGATGATTTTAACTCCTTAAACACAACCACAGGCGCCGCCTGCTGTACCGTCCGCTTTCTAGCCACAGGTGTTGCCTGTTTGAGCGCCATCTCCAGACAGGCAGAAAAACGCGCTTGTCCCCCCTCTTATCTAAGGCGGTTGCAAGAGGTTTTCACTGATTAAATGCTACCGTCATTTTTGACTTCTGGCAACTGACCCAAACGAAAGAGTGAAATGTGATACCTCTAAGCTTACGAAATTAGCTACGTGCTGAGCCCTGAAAGTTCATGACATTTTATTTTTTTATTTATTTTATTTGTCAAGCATATATAAGAAAACCTATAAAAGCATAAACATATTTGGAATACATGAAAAGAATAAGAGTAAAAAGGGACATGAGGACAGGGACGATGGTGCGCTTAGGCCTTACAGACCCCTTAGCAATGGGGTGAGGTCAACAGTAGACAGTCTAAGGTTAAAGTTTTGGGGGTTTGGGGAAGAAACCAGAGAGTCAAATAGTGCATTCCAGGGATTGACCACTCTGTTGCTGAAGTCGTATTTTCTGCAATTGAGTTTGGAGCGGTTTACCTTGCATTTGTATCTCTTATTTTCTCATATATTGTTGTGCTTGAAGCTGAAATAATAATTGACAGAATTTTTTTTTTTTGACAGAATTTGCTATCTTAGGGGGTGACTCTCGATAGAGATCAACGCCTCTCTACATCCCAAAAGTTTAAAACTGATTTTCTGTGGCTCCCAAGATTTTAGGACCTGCCAGGCCCATCAAGTCAAGATACTCCAAGGGAGTGCTATTTTTAAGGTTTATAAACTGTAGTGGAACATGGAGGATGACTATGTACAGCATTTTATGATTCAGTGGGTAAAGAACTTTGGATGTAAATAATGTTTGAACATTATTCACCTGACATCAAAAACATCATCAAAAAAGCACACCAAAGAACGTTCTTTCGTCGTCAACTCAGGAAGCTCAAACAGCCCAAGGAACTGCTGATACAGTTCTAAAAAGGAATTATTGAGTGTGTCATCTGCACTTCTATAACTGGTTTGGTCCTGCAACCCAACAAGACAGACCCAGACTTCAGAGGATAATTAGAACTGCTCGACTCCTGCAGCCTCTCAAAATCGCCCTTCTAAAAAATGCCCAATTTGTAAAAAAGGATTTCATTGGGCTAATCAGTGCCGTTTTCGGTCGGGAAACTTGCCAATGGGTGCGGCACCCACCCAGAGCCAAAAGAGTGCCTTTCCCCTAGTAATGTCTCCTCCCCACAGCCTTTCCTCTGCAGTCCCAGCCACAGCAGGTAGTGCTGGGATCGATCTAATAACTCAGGAATCTGTGGAATTTAAATTTCCTTTGGAGGTTAAATTGATTCCTTCTCAATTTAAAGGCCCTCTTCCCTCTGGTTTAGTGGGTCTTATCTTGCCTCGATCTTCAGCTCATAAAAAAGGATGCTTTGTAGTCCCTGGTGTTATTGATTCTGATTACACTGGAATGTTTTTTTATTCAGGCTTGGGTGAACAATCCTCTGTTGTTCAATTACTTTTGCTTCCCTATCAAGTCCCTTGTTCTGGCACAGGGGTACGTGGGGATGCTGGTTTTGGTTCTACCTCTCCTTCTGTGGCTTTACTTCAGTCTGTTACTTCCTTTCGTCCTTTGTTAACTCTCTATTTGAATAAGCAAACTTTTCAAGGGTTGCTTGATATTGGAACCGATGTTACTGTTATTTCGTCTTTACAGTGGCCTGTCCAATGGCCTAAGAAGTCAGTTTCTTCTTTATGGGGTGTAGGTGGTTCAACTCCAGCCTGGCAGAGTGTGCGTGATATTCAATTCTCCACAGCAGCTGGTAAGTCCTTTGCCCTGCAACCTTATATTTCATATATTCATACTAATATTTATTTATTTATTTATTTATTTATTTATTTATTTATTTATTTATTTATTTATTTATTTATTTATTTATTTATTTATTTATTTATTTATTTATTTATTTATTTATTTATTTATTTATTTGTTCCTATTTCTATACTGCCCTTCTCCAAATAGGACTCAGGGCGGTGAACAGCCAAAGTAAAAAACAGAACATACAAAATTTAAAAGCAGTTTAAAATAATTAAATATTTTGGCCGTAAATTAAAACAACCCAATTTAAAATGAATTTAAAACTTAACTCAAGCCAGCCCAGCTAGTTGAAATAAATGGGTTTTCAGGGCCCGACGAAAAATCCGGAGGTCTGTTATTGTACGTATCTCTGGGGGGAGGTTGTTCCAGAGGGTGGGCGCCACCACAGAGAAGGCTCTCCCCCTGGGAGTCGCCAGCCGACATTGTCTGGCGGACGGCACCCTGAGGAGGCCTACTCTGTGCGAGCGTACTGGCCGGTGGGAGGCTATTGGTGGCAGAAGGCGGTCTCGTAAGTACCCCGGCCCTAAGACATGGAGCGCTTTAAAGGTGGTCACCAACACCTTGAAGCGCACCCGGAAGACCACCGGGAGCCAGTGCAGCTCGTGCAGGAGAGGTGTCACATGGGAGCGCCTCGTCGCCCCCATAATCTCCCGCGCGGCCGCGTTGACCAGCTGGAGCCTCTGGGTGCACCCCAGGGGGAGCCCCATGTAGAGAGCGTTGCAGTAGTCCAGGCGGGAAGTGACGAGTGTGTCACGAGTGTTTCCAGGATTGCTGTGGCCATCTGCCTACTCACAAACAGTATGGTTTTAATCAAGCCATCTGCTGTTGGCAATTACCTGCAAGCCTTCCCCGCCCTAGTTAATTGCAGGTTGACTCCCTATATAAGCAAGGACCTTTTGCTTGATGCCTGGGCCTAGTCTGATCTAGGCCTAAATGCACAGCTCCTGCAGGAAGCTTGTTGCAACGCCGCAGATGGGAGAAGAATGCAGATAAGGACTCCAGACGCCGCTACAGAGAGACTCCCACGGATGCTTGCCTTTTGCTGTTTTGTAGCACGCAAGCTATCATCGGGACTGCTGTTGCTGGACCTTCTTCCTCCCACAAGCTTCAAGCAATGTTTGCTTTTTGAACTGTTTTTACTTCAGGTGACTTTCAGCTGTGAAGCTCGTGCTGCTCCCACATGATGGCCTTGATGATGTATCGACGCCGAAGCTGCTTACCTTCATGCTAGCTTTATTCTTTTGTGAACTGTTTTCGGTATTGTGGAGAGGGATCTAGGGAGATAGCCTTGTTTCACATACCTAGATAAGACTTTGTTTTTAATGTGTTTTCTTAAAGACATAGTGCTTTTTAAATGTTTTAAAGTAAATTATATTTTTACACAAGACGCCTCTGTCAGAATCATTTCAGTCTCAGTGTGTTTACTCATGAGCTGGTTCACGGTCCGGGGTACCCCTCAACCCCATTTCGTCACAGAGTGCCTGAGTGACTGTGCGTAGGGAGTCCCGATCTAGAAAGGGGCGTAACTGGCGTATCAGGCGGACCTGATAAAAAGCCCCCCTGGCCATATTTGGGGTCGGGACCTCCTTTCCTTTTTGAATACAAAATTGATTTTGGATGATGGCTCTTCCCCTTAAGTGGCTCTCTACTGCCCCCGTTGAGTTTGGAGCGGTTTACCTTGAGTTTGTATCTCTTATTTGCTCAGGTTTAGTTTAGTTTAGTTTATTAGATTTGTATACCGCCCTACTCCCGAAGGACTCAGGGCGGTGAACAGCCATGAAATAAAACATATCAATACAAAATTTAAAATAGAAATAAAACAAGTTAGATAAATTTGGCTGAACCATATTTAAAACCCCAGTAATTTAAAACCAAATTTAAAATTCCCATTTAAAAGAGGAGAAGTTTAGGTCAGGCCGGCTTGCTGGAATAGGAACGTCTTCAGCGTGCGACGGAAGGTACGCAGATCCGGAATCCTCCGTATCTCGGGGGGGAGCTCGTTCCAGATAGTAGGTGCCCCCACAGAGAAGGCTCTCCCCCTGGGGGCCGCCAGTCGACATTGTTTGGCCGACGGCACCCGGAGGAGCCCCTCTCTATGGGAGCGTACTGGTCGGTGGGAGGCTATTGGTGGTAGCAGGCGGTCCCGTAGATAACCAGGTCCTGAGCCATGGAGCGCTCTAAAGGTGATGACCAAAACCTTGAAGCGCACTCGGAAGACCACCGGGAGCCAGTGCAGCTCGCGCAGGAGAGGCGTTACATGGGAGCGCCACGTCGCTCCCATCACCACCCGCGCGGCCGCACTCTGCGCCAGTTGGAGCCTCCGAGTGCTCCTCAAGGGGAGCCCCATGTAGAGAGCGTTACAATAGTCCAGACGGGAGGTGACGAGGGCATGAGTGACCGTGCGTAACGAGTCCCGATCCAGAAAGGGACGCAACTGGCGAATCAGGCGAACCTGATGAAAAATCCTCCCGGTCACGGCCGTCAAGTGCTCTTCTAAAGACAGCCGTGAATCCAGGAGGACACCCAAGTTGCGAGCCCTCTCCGTGGGGGCCAATACTTCGCCCCCAATAGTCAGCGATGGCACCAGCTGACTATATCGGGATGTCGGAAACCACAGCCACTCGGTCTTGGATGGGTTGAGTCTGAGCCTGTTTCTCCCCATCCAGATCCGTACGGCCTCCAGGCACCGGGACATCACTTCAAGGGCATCGTTGGGGTGGTCCGGGGTGGAGATGTACAGCATATTGTTGTGGTTGAAGCTGAAGTAGTCATTGACAGAATCTTTTTCTTTTTTTGGCAGAATTTGCTATCTTAGGGGGTGACTCTCGATAGAGATCAACGCCTCTCTACATCCCAAAAGTTTAAAACTGATTTTCTGTGTCTCCCAAGATTTTAGGACCTGACAGCCCCATCAAGTCAAGATACTCCAAGGGAGTGCTGTTTTTAAGGTTTATAAACTGTAGTGGAACATGGAGGATGACTATGTACAGCATTTTATGATTCAGTGGGCAAAGAACTTTGCATGTAAATCACGCTTGAACAATGGGAGAATATGTGGATGAAAGATCTAAAATTCAAATTAAACTATAAAAGAAAAGTTTTATAAGATGATGTACTGTGTGTATCTATCACTGGACAAATTGTTCAGAATGTTTAAAGGGACCTCGAATGTTGGAAATGTAAAGAGCTTTTTATGATTTGTAGAAAGTCAGTACCAGAAGAATGAAATATCTTGGGAAATATTAAAAATGCAGAATATTATATTTCCCTAAATGAGAAATGGAGAAACATGGTTTTTTTTAG